CACACACACACACACACACACACACTACACACGCGCACTCTCTCTCTCTCTCTCTCTCTCTCTCTCTCTCTCTCTCTCGCTCGCTCACTTACTTTTACAAATTCGACGTCTTCATTCTCACTGCCGAATAATCATATTCCGCTTACTTTTATTAAGAAAAAAGTACACACTACATGCAATTACAGTAATCAATACTTTCACAGATTTACACACACTCACACACGAATCTATCGGTTTGTTATTACTACCGATTAATTATTCGGTGACTAAAAATTATTCGAAGGATACGCCTAACGTTTACACAACGCACGTAGCTCGATGCGGAGACAGTACTCGATGTAAACAATGAACTAAATTATGTTTTTATTGAAAAGTATTGTTACGCCTGTGCTTTTCGCCGCTGATGCTGTGTGTTACAGCTGACGGACCGATCGATAATATCGATCGGTCACTATAAGTTCAAGCCGTATGGCATTTGTAAATAAACAAGTTGTTGCTAAGAGAATGTAAACAATCGATAATATCGATCGGTCCGTCAGCTGTAACACACAGCATCAGCGGCGAAAAGCACAGGCGTAACAGTATTAAGTCGATAATTGCAGTTGATAAATCATGATGTCTGATATAATAATGCAGCGCATTAATGACTGACAATAAAACGCTTCGAAAACTTCTTACTGCTAAGATCCGATTGAATCAACTTAACTTTAGCTTTAAGCGAGATTTACATGTATAAATCTTTATTTTCTTTATTTAAAAAGAAAGATAAACACATTTTTTAAGTCTCACTTAAATCCAAAATAATATTAGTGATTCAAGTGAATAAAATTAGTAGGTAATGTTTAAGTATCTGCCTGTTAATCAAAGATGTGGATTTTTTGTTAACAATTTGCGAACTCAAAAAAGATGTTCATCGTAAATAAAATATTTGGTTGCCCTGAAAAGGGCAGATTAAAAGATATTTTAAAAGAATTTAGTTCTTATAATAAATGTTCAAAATGTCCGCCGTTCATTGTGATGCATGCTCTCATACGTCTCAATAAATTTTCTTGAGTTTTCTCCATAACTTCGTCCTCGATTAGAAAAATGGCATGATGAAGTTTGTCATTTAATTCTTCGACGTTCTCAGGAAGCTGTCTGTAAATTATTTCCTTGCAGTAGCCCCACAAGAAAAAATCCAACGGATTGAGGTCTGGTGATCTTGCAGGCCAACGAATCGGACCGTATCGACCCATCCAACGTTCGGGAAATTGGTGATTTAAAAAATTTGTGACAATTCTAGCGTTATGTGGGCCAGCACCGTCTTGTTGAAATAGAATTTTATTTCTATTTAATAATGGTATTTCTTCCAAAAAATGTGGCAGATTTTCTGCAAGAAATTCCACATACGATGCGCCATTGAGTCTTTCCGGTAGAATAACTGGGCCCAATATTTTTGTACCCATAATTCCAGCCCAGACGTTCAGTTTCCAACGAACTTGGTTATTTCTGAGTCGTGTCACTCGAGGATTTTCTTCGTCCCACACATGCATATTGTGTGAGTTAAAAACTCCTTCTCGTGTGAACAGCGATTCATCGCTGAATATTACACGAGAAGGAAATTCTTGATCTTCGTCTACTCTTCTGAGGAAATCCTCGCAAAATCTCTTCCTCCGAGGATAGTCTTCCTCTCGCAAATGTTGCACGCGAGTGTAGTGGTAAGCGTGCAATTTTTCTTCTTTGAGTATTCTTTGGACGGTAGAAAAAGAGAGTTTGTATTCTCGAGCAATGTCTCGAATACTACTTTCTGGTTCTTGCTCAACAGCACGAAGAACTGTTTCCACGGTTTCCAAATTTCTTGCATCACGATGTCTACCAGTGTCTTTTTTCGTCGGTAAGACACTTCCAGTCTCATATAATCTTTGAGCTGCCTGAAGTATAACATTGGGCCTGGGATGTCTTATTCGGTTCGGATACAATTCAGCGTATCTTCTTGCAGCAACGTAATATTGCCCCTGACATTCACCGAGTACCATGAGCATGTCATAATACTCCGCATTTGTATACGCTGCCATTTTCGTCTCCAATCGTCTCCAAGAAATCTTGATTCTCTAATAATCGAGAGATTATTAATTAAACAATTGATCGATGCTCCGTATTTATACGATCTTTGCGGGGGATCGAGCCCCCACCACGCCCCTCCCGACGAATCATATCGCAGATGATCTGCGATATTATTCGTCGGGAGGGGCGTGGTGGGGGCTCGATCCCCCGCAAAGATCGTATAAATACGGAGCATCGATCAATTGTTTAATTAATAATCTCTCGATTATTAGAGAATCAAGATTTCTTGGAGACGATTGGAGACGAAAATGGCAGCGTATACAAATGCGGAGTATTATGACATGCTCATGGTACTCGGTGAATGTCAGGGGCAATATTACGTTGCTGCAAGAAGATACGCTGAATTGTATCCGAACCGAATAAGACATCCCAGGCCCAATGTTATACTTCAGGCAGCTCAAAGATTATATGAGACTGGAAGTGTCTTACCGACGAAAAAAGACACTGGTAGACATCGTGATGCAAGAAATTTGGAAACCGTGGAAACGGTTCTTCGTGCTGTTGAGCAAGAACCAGAAAGTAGTATTCGAGACATTGCTCGAGAATACAAACTCTCTTTTTCTACCGTCCAAAGAATACTCAAAGAAGAAAAATTGCACGCTTACCACTACACTCGCGTGCAACATTTGCGAGAGGAAGACTATCCTCGGAGGAAGAGATTTTGCGAGGATTTCCTCAGAAGAGTAGACGAAGATCAAGAATTTCCTTCTCGTGTAATATTCAGCGATGAATCGCTGTTCACACGAGAAGGAGTTTTTAACTCACACAATATGCATGTGTGGGACGAAGAAAATCCTCGAGTGACACGACTCAGAAATAACCAAGTTCGTTGGAAACTGAACGTCTGGGCTGGAATTATGGGTACAAAAATATTGGGCCCAGTTATTCTACCGGAAAGACTCAATGGCGCATCGTATGTGGAATTTCTTGCAGAAAATCTGCCACATTTTTTGGAAGAAATACCATTATTAAATAGAAATAAAATTCTATTTCAACAAGACGGTGCTGGCCCACATAACGCTAGAATTGTCACAAATTTTTTAAATCACCAATTTCCCGAACGTTGGATGGGTCGATACGGTCCGATTCGTTGGCCTGCAAGATCACCAGACCTCAATCCGTTGGATTTTTTCTTGTGGGGCTACTGCAAGGAAATAATTTACAGACAGCTTCCTGAGAACGTCGAAGAATTAAATGACAAACTTCATCATGCCATTTTTCTAATCGAGGACGAAGTTATGGAGAAAACTCAAGAAAATTTATTGAGACGTATGAGAGCATGCATCACAATGAACGGCGGACATTTTGAACATTTATTATAAGAACTAAATTCTTTTAAAATATCTTTTAATCTGCCCTTTTCAGGGCAACCAAATATTTTATTTACGATGAACATCTTTTTTGAGTTCGCAAATTGTTAACAAAAAATCCACATCTTTGATTAACAGGCAGATACTTAAACATTACCTACTAATTTTATTCACTTGAATCACTAATATTATTTTGGATTTAAGTGAGACTTAAAAAATGTGTTTATCTTTCTTTTTAAATAAAGAAAATAAAGATTTATACATGTAAATCTCGCTTAAAGCTAAAGTTAAGTTGATTCAATCGGATCTTAGCAGTAAGAAGTTTTCGAAGCGTTTTATTGTCAGTCATTAATGCGCTGCATTATTATATCAGACATCATGATTTATCAACTGCAATTATCGACTTAATACTGTTACGCCTGTGCTTTTCGCCGCTGATGCTGTGTGTTACAGCTGACGGACCGATCGATATTATCGATTGTTTACATTCTCTTAGCAACAACTTGTTTATTTACAAATGCCATACGGCTTGAACTTATAGTGACCGATCGATATTATCGATCGGTCCGTCAGCTGTAACACACAGCATCAGCGGCGAAAAGCACAGGCGTAACAATACTTTTCAATAAAAACATAATCTGGTTCATTGTTTACATCGAGTACTGTCTCCGCATCGAGCTACGTGCGTTGTGTAAACGTTAGGCGTATCCTTCGAATAATTTTAGTCATCGAATAATTAATCGGTAGTAATAACAAACCGATAGATTCGTGTGTGAGTGTGTGTAAATCTGTGAAAGTATTGATTACTGTAATTGC